TGAGATCATTGAAGACAATTACGAGGCTATGAAGCGTTGGATTGATTACATCGGCGCTCAGAACCCGTCCTATATTTGGACAAAACGAGTGAATCGTAATTATGGGGATTGGCTGCAAGTGGGGGCCGACACACCCAAGGATATCATGAATACCGGGTACTATGGCTACGACGCTCTCCTTATGTCCAAAATAGCGAAAGTATTGAATCGTACGGAAGATCACAAGAAATACAGTGAATTGTATGCAAATATCAGCAATGCTTTTGTGAAGGCTTTTGTTAATACAACTGATGGTAAGATCAAAGGCGACACTCAGACAGTCTATGTCTTAGCCATTGCCTTCGAGATGTTGCCCCAAAACCTGATCCCATTGGCGGCCAACCATTTGGTCGACAATATTAAGGCCCACGACTGGCACCTGACCACCGGATTCGTCGGTCAGTAGTATTTTAGTTATCAATTAATTTTAAAAATTTAATAAATTTATGATTATATCTATGCCTCAGGTGTGGGCCACTTGTGTCCAACACTGAGCCGTATGGGTCACTCGGACGTGGCCTACCGTTTGGTACTGCAGGACACGTACCCCTCGTGGGGTTATAGTATCCGATACAACGCGACCACAATATGGGAGCGTTGGGACGGCTGGACCAAAGACAAGGGCTTTCAGGACCCGAATATGAATTCATTCAATCACTACTCCCTGGGATCGGTGGGCCGATGGCTCTACCAATCGGTGGCCGGTATTGACACCAATGACGATGAGGTGGGCTTCAAGAGTATCGTAATCGCACCCAAACCCGGCGGTAATCTCTATAATATGACGGCCCGGTATGCGTCCATTCGAGGGTTGATTGAGACGAGTTGGCAGACTAACGGCGCTAACATTACATTAACAGTAAGTTTTGTTAGTTTATGAATAGTTTGTTAATTAGTTTGTTTGTTGGGTTGATATTAGGTGGACATTCCGGTCAATACGAAAGCATCGATTGATTTATCATTTTTGAAGGAGCCGGTTCACGCAAATGTGGGCTCCGGTAGGTATGTCTATCAGGGAGAGTTGGCTCAACCATTCACTCAATTATTGGATTAATAATGACAATGAATTAAAAACTTTTGTTGAAATTGTATTTTAATAATAAATGCTTTCAAATGTATAAACTGACACATTTTATTTTATTTAATTAAAAACTTTTAACTTCTACATTAGTAAGTGATGTTCAGGTAATTTTAAAAACATGTGTTACCCGGGTCATTCAAGGTCCATGCCTTTTATTTATTACCGTAGATAATTTATTGATGTGTAGGTGCTTTACACATTAAGACTTAATACAGTACTATAATTAAGATGGCATATGCTCAGGGCTATTTTAAATCCAAGAATTAAACACTTATGACATGTAAGACACCTAGTAGCAATGTATTGTACCTTGGTGATCAGATTATCTGCACGATAGGATAGACCTATTGGAAGCCACACGAAGACTATTTGACATAATAAAGGGCTCATCCATTTCAAATTAGTAATTATTGTATATACAAACTTTTTATTATAAATGTATTTTATGAATACATCAATTAGGACAGTTCAAAGTTTTATTATAAAAACAAATATAATAATTAAGATTTTAAATTGATATATAGTTTAAAGTCATATGATATACTGTATATTTTTTAATTGCAAATTAAGGTTTGCAACCATGAAATATGATTGAACAAATTGTAGCCTTGTTACAAATCAAATGAGTTACAATTATATGAATCATTCTACTTTTACATGTTACAAATGAAATATCAAGATATTTATGTCATTACAACAACATTGACATATAATTTTTAAAATAAAAAGCATTTGCAGAAATATAAAAATTCATAAATATGGTCGCAGTTTCTTTTTTAACATACAAACTACTGGCGCTCTCATGGATTACGGCGCAGAGACAACTAATCCATGATAGGACGGCATCACGTGAGACGTGGGACAGTAGCTATGATTTTATAGTAGTGGGCGCCGGGGCTGCCGGTGCTGTGGTGGCCAACAAACTCAGTGAATGCAAGTCAGTGCGGGTGCTATTGCTAGAGGTGCTCAAAGTGCTATTTATAATGACTTACCCGGACTCGCAGAAGAAGGTTGGAGTAAACTAGTAAATCAGTGGCCATACTATAGTGAACCCAAACCATATTATGGACAGCAATACGCTGGGGGTCGGGTGCCTGAGAACAAAGGCAAGACATTAGGGGGCAGTACAGCCCATAATGCAATGGATTTCAATCGGGGTAATAGACGTGGGTATGATGAATGGGTCAATAAATACGGTGCTGTCGGTTGGAGTTATAAGGATTTGTTGCCAGTGTTTAAGGAATGGGAGAATAATACCGATCCGACTGTTGTCGAGAGTAATCTCGGATATCACGGAACTCGTGGACCCATTCAGATATCATCGCCAAAAAATCCCAGTCCTTTGGTTTTTACTTTTAAAGAAGCATTACTTGAGTTGGGTTATCCTGAAACAGATATCAATGGTCAGGATCAGTTTGGGACTATGATTACACAAACGTATATAACTAGTGAGGGGTTTAGATCGGGAACGGGTAATGCATTCGTGGACCCGAACCCACACGAAGACAATCTGCATATCGTTTGCAAAGCATTGGTCTCAAGAATACTATTCAATGGGTTGACAGCTATTGGAGTGGAGTTTATTAGGAATGATATCNAGAATACTATTCAATGGGTTGACAGCTATTGGAGTGGAGTTTATTAGGAATGATATCTCGTATAGAGTTTACGCTAACAAAGAGGTTATCGTTTCCGGCGGTAATTATTACACAAAAATATTTAGTATTCTTTTAATTGTATAATTAACTCATTTTTACCTTTAGGTCCAATAAATAGTCCACAACTACTAATGCTATCAGGAATCGGTCCCAAACATCATTTACAAAGCTTTGGGATACCAGTCATATTGGATCTACCGATTGGTGACAATTTTGCTAACCATCCGGCAGTCACTGTTACCGTTAATATCAAAGATGAATATCTTAACATGGTAAATCCAGTTCCAGACCCAAATGTGCAACAATTAAGTGAACTTTATTACCATCAAAGTGGGCCATTATCCCAAAGCCCTACCTGTGTCCTCTTTTACAACACCCATAATAATAACGATAATCAGTGGCCAAATGCACTGCTATTTGGAGATCCATATAATAACACTATTAATATATACTTAAATTTAGTCCGATATAAAAGTCGGGGGACATTACGCCTACAGTCAACTAACCCTTACATCCCACCCCTCATTGACCCCAATTGGTTGTCACATCCGGATGATAGGGAAGACCTATTGGAAGCCACGCGACATATATTTTATATACTGGAGCGCACATCCATCTCACATTATGTCCAACCTCCCGCCGATTTATTACCCGAAATAGGCTGTCCAGTATGCCCGGGCAGGTATACGTATGAGTGCACAGAAGGTTTGAAATGCTTCGTACAATACTATAGCGCAACTTCCTATCATCCCGGGGGTAGTTGTCGTATGGGCTCAATAGACAGACCCGATGTTGTGGTCGACCCCCAGTTGAGGGTTAAAAATGTGAGAAACCTTAGGGTTTGTGATTCATCGGTCTTCCCAACAATTCCCAACTCCAACACCGCGGCCCCCACTATAACAGTGGGCTATAAATGCGCCCAATTTATCAAGGACTGTTATAATTTGAAATAAATTTAATGTAAAATAACACAACTATTAGTAAACTAATTAAAATATTTATAAAATAATATTTGATATAATTATATAAACAATAAACTTTTTAAAGCTTTTTTATTGTATGTATTAAAAAATATCATTTAAACGCTAACTTATTTATGAACAAAATAGTTTATCATGAATTATAGAAATAATAATATTTTTAAAAATAAAAATTTAACCAAACTCAAAAATATATACGTTTAAAATAAATCACAATTAAAAGATATAAAAATATAAATTATGATAGGAGTTTCAGTGTTAACAAATAAACTACCTGTCCTCTCGCGGCATAAATCTAAAATATTTCAATTAAAATCAATTATATGAAAACATATTTAAATAAAAGTATACCATATTATGATAAAGAATTATGAAAATTTCAATTTATGATTATTAAAATATTACATTGGTGCAAAAGTTCTCGCCTGTTATAACATTGTGTTCTATGACAATTTCGGCGAGAACTTTTGCACCAATGTAATACTTCTAAAATCAGATTGACAGTGGCACTATAACCATGATGAATCCTTTATTAATACCATCCCCTCCATTATCTGTCCAATGGTTTACAGTATTCTCGCTATTATTACAAAAACAACAAATCCATGACTCGTTTGCAAATCAGTTTCAACTGAAGCCGTCGTGTGACTACATAGTGGTGGGGGCCGGGAGTGCCGGCTCTATAGTGGCCTGTCGTTTGGCTCATGAAATGGGAGACAAGGTTTTGCTGATAGAGGCCGGTGTTGGACTGGACGCAGTGATTACAGACTTCCCTGGTATGTTTATCAATGACCATTAACGGTATCAAGACCCTATCCCGTTTCTGGCCGTATGTCAACGAACCGCAGCCAGAGGTGGGACAGGCGTACAAAAACAGACAAACATCAGAAGCTAAGGGAAAGGCATTGGGGGCAGTTCAACGGTTAACTTAATGATATACAAGAGAGGGAACCGTAAGTATTACGACAGTATTGCTCGTGATTTCGGTGCCAACGGTTGGAGTTTTGAACAATTGTTGCCGTATTTCAAGAAATCTGAGAATAATACCTATCCTAATGTCGATCCCATTTATCACGGCCGCAGTGGACCGGTAGGTGTGTCCACTCCATCAGCAATTGATACACCTTTACTTCATTGGCAAAAAGCACTGACAGAACAGGGCTTTCCAGTTGTGGACCTGAATGGGCCGACACAGTACGGCACGAGTATTATGCAGTCGACTATCAGGGATGGGATGAGACAGTCCACTGCCAACTCATATTTGGAATTCTCTAATATATGCCCTGATATTAATATATTAACAGGGGCATTTGTCACTAAAGTGCTTATCACAGGACAAATGAACAATGCAAAAGCATATGGAGTGGAGTTTAAAAAAGGGAACCGTATATATCGTGTTATGGCTAACAAAGAGGTTATTATTTCAGCCGGTAAAATTACTTATCATATAAATATACACTATAAATTATAAACTATAGCGTAGACTTACTCTGAATTAGGTAGATGAACCTGAGTGAAATACAGTATTTCAAGTTTGTAGGATAATTAAAATATTCTCACACTACTTTTAATTCTCAAATACAGTATTATATTTACCAGTATAAA